TTTTTAAAAAAAAAGTTATCAAGCTCTTAAAAAATCACCCGTTATTATCTTAATATGTGACACGTAAAGTTAAAAGGGACCTACGGTGAGAAAAAATTGGTTTTCACTTTTTCATCGACTCATATAGTAAACGGGCCGCTCTTTCCGATGCAATAAACCGCAGCTTTCTAGCTGCATTAGTTTTCTCACAATTTCAAAGTTAGGTACTTTCACAAAAAAAGTACAAAAAAATCAAATCTGACAAACTATTCGGAAATTAATTAAATTCGCTTCAAACTCTTTACTCGGGGGTTTTCGGGGTCGCTGATTACGAATCCGATGTTAGTTTTTCAAAATTCGGTGTCAACGACATTTTTGAGTTTCACATGAATTCGAACAAATTTTAAGTTTTTCCCGCCATATTGCATCCGCCATTTTGAATTTTAAAAAACGAATCGTTCGTAATCAGCGACACCAAAAACCCCCGAGTAACGAGTTTGAAGCGATTCCGATAAATTTTTAAAAAAGTCATCCGCCATATTGAATCCGCCATTTTGAATTTTGGAAAACTAACATCTGATTTGTAATCGGCGACACCGAAAACCCCCGAGTAACGAGCTTCAATCCATTAAAACGTTCAGAAGCATCAAAATCAACTTGGTAAACTTCAAAGTCGTTTTTCTTGAACTTTTTTTTCTGAGCGTAGGTCTCTTTAACTTTAAGTGTCACATATTTTGTAAGTATTTTTTAAATGCGCGGCGCCTGGGCTACGAGGCCATGTTGCTCCCGAGCAGTAGTTCTTGAATTAAAGTTATACTTCGTGTAGGAGGTTGTGTTTTTTTAAGGTTCAATTAATAAATTTGACGGTGTTTTCATTACTGCGACCTTAATTAATGCCACTTAACGAAAGTTACCCATTTTCAATGATCATAATTACATTCATAGCTGCGAAATTATAATGCATCGTAGAATATTTTACACAATGATTTTTAAATACTTTTCAATTATCTATTTTCTAGACGCTCCATGGTGCGGCCACTGTAAAGCGCTAGCTCCAGAATACGCTAAAGCCGCTCAGCACTTAGAAGAACAGAAATCGGAAATCAAATTGGCCAAGGTCGACGCTACTGTGGAAAGCGAATTGGCTGAGGAATACCATGTGCGTGGTTATCCCACACTGAAGTTCTTCCGTAACGGCGTCCCCGTCGATTACAGTGGTGGCCGTCAATCAGATGATATCATTTCATGGGTTACCAAGAAGACTGGTCCACCGGCCAAGGAACTGAATACCGTCGAAGAAGCTGAGGAATTGCTGAAAGACGATAAAGTAAGTAGATAAATTTTCAATCACCTTGTACTCCAGTTTTATATTTATTTTATAACAATTATATTCAACAATTTTTATTGCGCTTGAGGCCGTTTTCCACAATAGTTTTTCATTAAAAACGGCCTCAAGCTCAATAAAAATTGCTGAATACTTATTTTATAATTTAATGTTATTTTGGAAAACTCTATGCATATATGTATACATACGTATTTACATATGTGATTTTTCTTAATGCTTTTTAGATCGTCGTTGTCGGCTTTTTCAAGAACCAAGATTCCGACGAAGCCAAGGCTTTCATTGCTGTTGCCAACGCTTTGGACAGTTTCGAGTTTGCTATCAGCAGCAACGATGAAGTTCTTGCCAAATATGAAGTTAAAGACGGCAGTGTTGTACTCTTCAAGCCATTCGATGATAAGAAATCGGTATTCGAAGGCGAAGCCAACGTTGACAATATCAAAAAATTCGTGCAAGTTCAATCTCTGCCATTGATTGTGGAATTCAACCATGAATCGGCTGCCAAGATCTTCGGTGGATCAATTAAATCGCACCTGTTGTTCTTCGTCTCAAAGGAAGCAGGACATATTGAGAAATATGTCGATCCTTTAAAAGAGATTGCCAAGGAGTACCGCGAAGACATACTGTTCGTTACCATCTCTTCGGATGAGGAAGAGCACCAACGTATCTTCGAATTCTTCGGCATGGCAAAGGATGAAGTACCAACTATCCGTTTGATTCGCTTAGAAGAAGATATGGCCAAATACAAGCCAGAATCGAATGACTTATCTGCTAGTACCATCAAGAGCTTTTTGCAAAAGTTCATGGATGGCAAATTGAAGCAACACCTGTTGTCACAAGAGTTGCCCGAGGATTGGGATAAGAACCCTGTTAAAGTGCTGGTTGCTACCAATTTTGATGACATTGCTTTTGACAAGAGCAAAGATGTTCTGGTTGAATTCTATGCGCCTTGGTGTGGACACTGCAAGCAATTGGTTCCCATCTACGATCAACTGGGTGAGAAGTTCAAGGACAATGAGAACATTGTGGTTGCTAAAATCGATGCCACTGCCAATGAGTTGGAGCACACTAAGATCTCGTCATTCCCCACCATTAAATTGTACCGCAAGGGCGATAACAAAGTTATTGACTACAATTTGGACAGAACTTTTGATGATTTCGTGAAGTTCCTGGACGCAGGCGGTGATGTGCCACAGGTAAATATCATATATTAGACAGTACTAAACTGAATGAACGTTTGTGTATTTATAGTAGAATATACATACTAATTTTATATTTATTTTATTTTTTTCAGGGTGGCGAGTCAGAAGAGGAGGTTACAGAGAAACCCGAGGAACACCCGAAGGATGAATTGTAAACTTTTACAATAACTTAAACGTAAAATTTAGGATCAGCAGCAATCAGCAGCAGAATCAGGATAACATTTACATTACCACCATTAATACAGAACATGTTAATAGATATTTTACAAAATCATAAAAATATGCAACGGAACATTCTTACTTTTGTGCAAAAGCATTTCCTTCCGGTCTGCTGCGCCATTGTAATTTTTTAATAGACTTAACAATTCCGTTTAAATATGCTCTCTTACCAATCAACAGCAAAAATTGTAATTATTTGTAACAGAAGAGGGGCAACGTCAGCAGATCTTTATTTTTTTAGTAATTACAATAAATATTTGTTTGTATTACGTTTTAAGTAACTTCAACAAAACAAATATTAAAAAAAAATCTGTATTTGCTATTATTTTTTATAATTATGGTAATATCTCTTGTGAATGAAGTTAGTACTTTTTTATAAAAGGAAAACAATTACACAAATGCACATGTTGTATGTATAAGGAATGAGTGCCCATCGTGTAAGTTGGGGATATATAAGTGCGAAAGGCGTTTAAAGGTCAATTCACACCAAGATCAAATAAAGGATTTAAAATTTTAAAATTATTTCTTAAGAACCTATTAGCGCTTCCATGATTTACTACCATATGGATGTGAAAGCAAAAATGTCACCTAATTTGCCAATAAAATAAATATATGTTTATGTAGAAATGAATTAGAAACGGTTGTGTGCTGCCTTGAGGTGAAATTAGTCAAGAACGCAGAACTTATACTTAAACGCTGTCTGTATACGCAGAATTTTGTCGGTAACTGGAGCCCCCAGTGTTGCTTATTACAGTGTTGCCACTCATCAATGCCTTTTCATAAACTTACCTTTTCAACTACAATTTTTCATGCTATAATAGATGCTAACTAAATATAAAATACTTATTTTTCAACAAAAAACCTTATTCGATAGTAAATTTCAAATATTTTAAACGTATTTTGAATAGGAACTTATAACTTTTTTACCATCTGCAAAATTGACGAAGTGGCAACCATCTATAGAAGGAAGAAATCAGCTGACACGGAAAAATCTAAATTCCGCAGATTTCTGCGCTACGGGCTACAACTACAGAAAAATTCTGCGGTGTTGAGTTTTCATTTACATGGCGCTTTGGTAAGGCAGATCGAGTCAGCTGACTCGGATTTACGTACCGGTAGGTTTTCTTTTTGACTAATTTTACCTTTTATAATTTTTGAGATTCTCCAAAAGGCTCCATCCTGAAATAATCGGAAAACAAATGTGCGTTTGCCGCAAATTGAACTCTTTAACTACCCAAGAAAATAAATTTAAATTAATGCCAGTTTTAAATTATTTTGGATTTATTTCCAAAAGTTTTTCTAACATACGAAAATAACAGTACCGACTATCGAACTCCATATCATACCAAAAATTCACGGCTATACACTTGTGACTCTGTTGCACGTGGTGAAACCAAAAGTTAGGCAGAAACAAAACGTCACCGGCATATACACGCACATGCAAAGGATGGACTTGTGCGAACTTCGGATATTTGCCTAAATCCGGTGCTAATGGATCGATACTAATCCATTCGGTTTGCATCTGTTTAGATTCATTTTCTTCGGCACGCTCATTCAACACTGGCTCAATATAGAACTGACCCAGTGTATTACGTCGATATTGTCCGACGGGATATTGTTGCCGAGGAATATTTACTACTTGGTGTGGTGGTAGCAATATAAAGTCCTTATGTCCAGCGATAACGCAATATATATTATCGAAGGGATCTTTGTGCATAGATGTGACAGCGCGCTCATCACCCATCCAAAAATTTACCAGCGGCGGGGTATTCAAACATTTTTCAGCAAAATTTAAGTCGTTAACATTAATATCATCTGCCAACTCTGGGAAATCGGTGGTGAAATTTGAATTCTGCTTTTGAATATAGTGTATTGCTCCAGTAGGGTCATCAAGTCTTTCCAAGAATTCCCTCATACACATCTTCTCCTCCAGAGGAAGCACAAAATACTCCGTTTCATCTTGTTTTGCCAAGCCGTCCGCGTAACCATTAGGCGTTGTTGTGACGTCTAACAATTTTTTGCCAAGCATTTGCTCTAGATACGATGGATTCCACTTTTGTACCGCTGGCCAATGCTTGACCGCATTACGTATTACCACTGGTTGACTTTTGGCATAAAAACTGCGCGCAAATTCTATTGGATTTGGTATTTGATCTAGTTCGACTACTTCTGTGCCAATATATAGCTCATTTGCTTCCTTCAATAACACGTCCAGCGCCGCAGTTATCCTCTCCATGCTTGTGAGCAGATGGGACACCTGCTAGTAGAGGAAGTATTTTGCCTAAGATTATAGGCCAAACTGATAACTCTGATTTCTGGAACATGATTTTGGTTATTTATTGTATATTTCCGTGAAGTAAAACACAGAGAACGTTAAATACAGAGAAGCTGCAATTACAAATGGCCGTGTGAATTGTCAAAAGCTATCAAAAACGCTCTAGAAGTTCACCACTCGAATCGAAAATTGAGAGCGGCTAGTTAACAGAGCTGAGCGGATACAAGTTTGTTAATTTCTATCAATGTTAAGAACTTTGGTTTGGATTTTTTTTTTCGCGGCATTGATTTAATAAAAAGAAAGATGAAAATTCTTGGTTAAATTAATGAAAATTAATTTCCCACGCATATCATACAAGCTCCATTAATTGATAACGTTTTTACAGGCATATATATGTATGTGCATATTACTGCCAAAAAACTACGTACACGCATACCCACTGGGAAAATAGGTAAGCACCTTGCGAGGTAAGCCATGTTTTCTTTCAGTTTTTAGTACCAAAATTGTCATCATGACCAATGTCATCTACTAGTAAAGGGCAAAATGAACACCTCCGAAGACACATTACGTTGTCAGTTGCAAAATAACGTGCAGCCGAAGTTATTTCCAAGCACCGAACTACTCCGAGCGACTGCTCTGCATTACACGTAACTTACTTTGTAAAGCGGCTCAGAAGTATCTCTGATACCAAATGTACATTCTAAATTCCTACTTACATAAGGCGGCCATGCCTTTGTAAAAGTAAGGGACGTTCGGCAGGGAAATGATAATGACTGCCAGGTGAAGAGTAAGTTGCTAATAAGGTATTATTACGTGCTCTTAATTCCCACTGGGTATAAATGTACATACATATGTACAAATAACGGCAGCATACATATATATGCACATAATTACACGTATACTCAAATACAACAATAACTATTTCATTCATAAACGCATTCGCATATTCCTCAAGATCAGGCATGGGCAGAGCAGAGAACGTTTAAAACAGAGAAGCAGCAACACGCTACTCGTTGGTATTTTGTAATAGATCAGAAATCGGCTAGAAGCTCACCACGTTATATTTTTAACATCGATAGCTCTAGAAGCTCACCATTTTTTAACAGCGTGAGCGCAGAGCGGCACAGAATAACAGAATTTGAATAAATTAGCAATTGTGAAATGTTATTTTTGTGCACGTTTATATCTATCAACAAAAATGACTTTTGGTAGTTATTTTAATGCCCCTTTCATTGAATTAAATCTAAAACATTAATTAGTTATTACAAACAATTTATTTTCATAAAAATTCCAATTAACTAATATAAATTTGCGAAAATTTTGTAAACCATATTTTCGTCAACAATTAGTAAATTCTTCATTGAAAAAATTTTAAACACGCTAAAAGGCAAGCGCATAAAAATGTTTGTAAATACATATACATACCTATGTAGATGCATTTATACATATGTATGCACTTATGCAAATAAACAAATGCTGCGCGCGGTTAAAATTGTTTCGTTATTTTTTTGTATAAAAATATGGTTCATGCTTTAATCAAAACCACAAAGTCAAACTTTATACAAAACTTAGAAAAATTCAACAAATTTTCGTCTAAATTTTGAACTTTTTAATCTGAGTTTTTAGAATGGTGGATCTGTAGAAAAGCAAGTGCAAGTTTTAAGCGGCTAAAAAATCGCGTAGATTTTTAATGATTTTTTGTTGCGGACGGCTTGTACTTTTTACCATATACATAAAAGCGAATTTCTTGTAGAATAAAATGCCCAGGACCGTTTGCAAACAAAATAATAAAACAAAAAATAAATACTAAATTTTATAAATTACACCTGTTATATGCATAACACCGCAAAATATGTCGGAAAGAAATTCATTAAAAATTAAAGCGATCTTTTATCCGCTTAAAACTTTCACTTGTTTCACTAAAATTACATACATAACCAATTATCTGCGTACCCAAAACTTTCTAAAAATTTAGACTAAAAAGTAGAAAATTTAGATGAAAATTTGTTGAATTTTTCTACGTTCTGTATAAATTTTTAAAGTTTGACTTATGTGGTTTCGATTAAAGCATGAACCATATTTTTATAAAAATATAACAAAAAAATTTTTACTTGAAAAACATTGTAAATATTATACAAAAAAGAACCATGCAATCACTTTTGATTGCCCGTGTATGTACGTAGTATGTGTGTCTAACAAATTATGGCTTGTTATCAAAATACCGATATTAACTAACAAACTTAATATTATATAGTACAAATGTGTTTGTAAAATTAATTTCATTAAAATTATTTCTGCAATCAAATTTTCTATTCATGCAAACAGCCAAACGCATAAAATTGTACGTACATATATACACATTAGACTGGGTCGAAAAAAAAAGTTGCTAATGTCCGCCCCTAAATTTAAAGATTATGTTGAGAGGGTTCTGGAAAAATTTTTTTTTTTTTTTTTAACCCTCCGAAATACAGCCGAAATGGTTTTTTCGTTGTAACTTGGTTATTTGACGGCCGATTTTTAAAATTGATATGTCATTATTTTTGTCTTGAGAAGCTTCACTTTTCGTTCTTATGTCTTTTTAAGCTTTGAAGTCGCGTTCGCATGATAAGGGCAGAAACAAAATTTTACCCCCCCTAAAGTATATTTTTTTTCCTTACCAAACGAAAGTACTTAAAAATTCAAGAAAATGTTGCCTTCAAACTATATTACTAAAATAATAAACAAAGGAGTTATAGCACTTTTAATATCACAGGTCAACATGAGTTTCAGATGTAAGTATAATAACACAGTACAACAAAAATTGATTTTTTTTATGCAACAGAGTAACCTAAATTTAAGGATTATGTTGAGAGGATTTCGAAATTTTTATTTTATTTTTTTTTTAACCCTTCGAAATACAGCCGAAAAGGTTTTTTCGTTGAAAGTTGGGTATTTGACGGCC